ATTATTATTATTATTATTATTATTATTACTATTATATAGATAGGTGATTGAGATGATGATTTTTTAAATCGTAATATAAAAAGTACTATCAGCCAGCAAAGTCGGCGTTATAGTTATAGTCTCATACTTTATTAAGTGGTTCAGACTTTCGTTCCAATCCCTGACGGGTCGTTCTTAGACTTTGTTTTGGAGCGTCTGCAGCTACTCCCAATCCAAATACATGACGTATGGACATGTGAGGCAGTGCAGTGAAATCAGACGCTCGCTAAAACAGTCAACTATGAAGAAACCGGTACTTTTCCGCTCGTTTGGTTATTTGTATCGATTATTTTGCCCAACAACGTTTTAGTACATGTTAAAAAACGCATTTCTATGTGGCTTTTTACTGGAAATCGTTGACTAAAGGCTCGAAGAGGTAATTTTATTTTCCAGGGACTCTGAAGCTTTGGCAGTCACCTAACTTTAGAGGCAATTTCTCGCTAATTTTATCTCTGAAAGCAGGCGACCCCCACCTCTACTTTCAATCACAAATTATATCTCAGCTTCCATTCGAGATAGATCAGTGCTTCTTTCATCGAATGTAAGACAAACAAACAAACGAACAAAAAACTCACTAAAAAACAACAACGGAAAGGCTTAACTCCAAGAACTGCACATGCTCAAGCACTGACGAGCGCCAGATTCTACAGCGTTGACTCACAGATTTTTATCATTATCTCACTACTTACTGTCCTCAGGTTCTGGCCGGTATCAAGTCAGAGGAGGCACGGGACAAGTTTTGTGCGCGTAACACCAAAAGTAACACCGGATTCGCCATCGGCAGAGCCTTTGTTGATCGGTTCTTTGAACCCGAAGCCAAAACTATGGTAAGCAGAGTCTTTGGTTTTTAACAGAAAAAATGTTATATTTTAGGGGTTTTTCTTTTCTTGGCAATTTCGATGAGTTTTTGAACGGGGGCTACAAAGACCGTAACAGAATAGGAGGGCTGTAGTATGAAATGTTACATTTATAAACTCTTCAATCAAGAATGTACCAGATACGATAAAAGAAGACAGTTAGCGAGAAAGAGACAGAGAGAGATAAAGAAAATGAGAGAGAGAGAGAGAGAGAGAGAGAGAGAGAGAGAGAGAGAGAGAGAGAGAGAGAGTGAGAGAAGGAAAGATAAAGAGAGAGATAAGTGGGTGAGAGAAAGGGCGTGTTAGAGAGACAGAGAGAGACAGACGCAGAGACAGACAGACAGACAGACAGACAGAGAGACAGAGAGACAGTGAGACAGAGACAGGCAGGCAGGCAGGCAGACAGACTCAGCGGAAAGTGTCCTGGACACATCAGTCCTACCTTTAACAGAGTTGTCGCTTGTGGTAGATAGAAAGCGTTGTTGACGTATATGGACTTGTAGACATATGATAAGCTACATGCACAATTCTGCCTCTGAAAGAATTTACGCTCTTGGAAGATTTCAGGAAACAGGTTTGCCGAGTTAAAAAGGTATCTTGGAATTTAATCTGATAGGAAAGTATAATGTCCTACCTATTTTTGCAGGCCCTGGAAATGATAGCTGGTCTACAGTCTGCGTTCGATGAACAAGTAAATAGACTGTCTTGGATGGACGCGGAGACGAAAAGACTTGCTCAGGAAAAGGTGAACCCTATTTCACCTTATTGAAAACAACAATAATTACTTTTTAAAATTTTCACAGTGATGCTTGAATTGCATCGTCCAGAAAACAGTGATTTGAATAATATAGTAACTCAAAAGGTTTTCATGTAGGCCTACCATTTCCAAAATTATTTTTCATTTTACAGTTATTTTGTTTAAGACACTGGCTCCGTCAAAACTCATTTTACCTGGATATCAAAACTATACACAACAGCTTGAATGATGCACCTCTGAGAATTTGTTCTTAAATTACAAATCATGTATTGCCTTTTTTTTGTTGACTATAACTAAATATAATCCTATTGAACTTAACGAGTCTCCCCTAGCGTTTAGATTATCATCACATTTCCGTAGACATTGATAATCGTTCTTGGTGGATAGATATCGAGTTCACTTTTTCTATCCTCTTCACAGCACATAATTATTATTTCTGTATTAAATTTTGCGTCTCTTTAAAATCATGCCCGTTTTCATAGCACCCCACTCTAAAAAAGACTACACACGTGACCATTAAATGTAATGCAAATGTACCTTTGAAATGTCTTTGTTTTCGTAGGGCAAAATGTGTTAAGTATCTTGAAGATATATACTAATAAACGTTTTGTGTGATTGTGTATGTGAATTATTTCTCCAGAACAGCGTCATTCGGTCCAAGATTGGTTACCCAGCGTTTGTGACGAATGACACGGAGTTAGACGAGTATTACTCAAACGTAAGTGGTTTGGACAAAAGTCAGTGCCGGGGAATCGTTGTGATTTTCTATCCCGATGAAAGCCTAACATAATTAGATTTCAATTGTCAAAGTGTTTGTTAAAAGTATAATCTGCTGATAAAATATACTTGAACAAAGGTTTCGTTTAGAATTGCCTCTATGCCCACACTAATATACATTCAACGTTCCCTTGTGGTTGACAAATTTTAATAGTTCTGTTAAATGTCACCAGCCCCATTGCCTGGGTAGAATTGATATCCTGGAGACTTTTTGTCAAATTTGCTTGGATGGGATACTGTTAAACTTACGAGCACTTTAGTGAATCGCCCAACATATAGAGATTCCAGTTTGAATTATAATGATATGGTTTCTTATAACACAATGAAGACTGGAAGTTTTTGGACGTATTCCAAAATGTCATTGCGGGCTATTACTGCTTAACCATTTTCAAAAGCTCCCTGTTAGCAAGAAACATACTTTATAGAGTATCCATGTTCTCCTGCTGAATGTATTTCTCTGTTCCATTGTTGGCCCTAGCAGGCACAGTCGAAAGGGAAATCCTTTCCTGATTATAATTGCAATTTGTCAGTTAGGCATAATAAGATATTTTAAGTTGCAAGAAAGGGGACAGCATTAAGAAATTATTTCATTTCAGCCACGGCACTCCAGGGACACAACCCAGTAACACCAATGCCAATTCAACTACATTAGCTTCCGGTGAAAGCACGAATTCAGTACAAAATAATTGTTCTTTGTTTTAAGTGCGTCAATAACATTGTACGATCATATCTTTGTGACATGGACATTGAATATATACCATCTCGACCTTTAAGATCGACGAAGAAAATAATTTTAAGACCTGTCCAAAGCAAAAGTCAGAGACTCAGAGGGAGAGCTTTTTTCATACCAAGCCCCCTCCTTGTGGAACGCTTTACCAGCTTATAATATACGGGAGTCCACCACTTTAACAAAATTCAAAAGAGCACTTAAAACGCATTTGTTTCAGTCCAGCTTCAATCCGTAATTTCCGACATTTCCAATACAAATAATGTATTATTATGTTCTCTCAATATCTATTATGTTCTCTCAGTATTATTTATTCTTGCTGTTCTGTTCTGTAAAAATTTATGACTGTGTGATGTCATCAATATGTACGAGGGTGTCTGGGTAAGTTTTGTGGAATTGAATTTACTCAAGGATGTACTGGAGAGAGAAAGA